TGGTGAAGTTGTTCGTCACTGGAATAGAACCTTCCCACTTGAGGAGTGTTCACAATGACAAGACTCATATCCACTGAAAAAGCTCCACGATCAGGCACAAATGAAATGAGATTTGTTCCCTCCACAAGAGAAGCTGGCCATCCAGGAGTGAGTCTTCCTTCAGGAGAGTAATACCCAACCTTAAGAGTCAAGGTACTCAGAACATTGGCATTCTCCACCTCGCAGTGTTGTGTTGTTTGACTGGGGGAGACTACCATATTAGGAAAGCAACCGGTAATGGTTGTCAAAATACCATTTGTGCCAGCAGCTGCAGCATAGCAGAGAAATACGTTTAGTATGGGCAGCAGTAGCCATAACAAAAAAAAAAACCCTATTGGACCTTCTCATGCCCACCAGAAGAATGCAGCACCACTGCGCATCACTCCCTATTACTTATCTCATTCCCCATGCAAACACACCCCCACACCATACCCACACACTCACAAACGGCAGAATACCCACTGCACAAAACAGTCTTCTCCTCAAAGTGGCAATGAGAGCCAGAGAAAGAATCTGCCATACACAGTATTCCAAATCAGCCGCAAGAAAATAATTACAAAACCAGTCAAACAACACCGTCAAGAGTAAATACAGGGAATGATGGCACACCATGATAGGGTATAATCGGGGCAGTTCAAGTAGAGAAGCATATGGGACTCTGTACTCCACTCTCCCATTCCCCAACCAGTCCTCAGTGTTCACCAAATGTATACCGTGGTACACACAACACTCTGTGGACCTCTCCATAATGAGCCAGCTCCTGCGGAGAAAACAGCAATCAAAATAAACCCCCCTAATCCATATAAATGTTCATGTACAGTGTCTATTCAACTATTTTGAATCAGTGTACATAATGGAGGAAAGAATAAAAAAAAGGAAGAAAAAAAAAGCACATGCCAACAAAGGCACCAAGTAACGAAAACAGATTATTAGGACATCATAACAACGATACATCCATGGACCACATTCTCCCTGGGGAAAAGAAAAAACATCCAAACTGATGATATTACCCCAATAAAGAAACGATTAGACCAAATCCCATAGTGAACCCCCACAAAAACACACACACACACACACAGATACATAGAAACTGAATAGTAATTAAAAAAAAAAACAATCCCACAGTGAAAACCCCACACACACAAAAAAGGAACACAATTAAAAAAAAAAAAACACACACTATAGATTGCTTGCAAAAAAAAAAAAAATCTTTTTTCACCACACAAGAAAAAAATGTATTTTTAATATCATACCATTAACTCCTGTGCATACATCATTCTCACCCAGTGTGACCCTCAATGTGCTTGCTTACTCCTTTGTTACATTCACACTCTGCAAAAAGTGAGGTCGAGAAATCAAGCATCGTGTGTGGGCAAACAAAGTAGCGTTAGGAGTTAATTCCTGGACTCCAGAGATTGTAGCAAACAGTTAATTTTCCAAAAAAGAAAGAAAAAAAAAGAATTCCATGGTGCAGAGCACTAGGAAAAACAGCAAGAAAAAAAAAACAATTAAAAAGAAAAGAGTCCACACTATGGACAGCAATTATTATTTTATTGATGAAGAGAAGCCCAATTAGAAATTATATTCACGTGATTGCACACACATTTATGGGAAAACTGTTGCAAGAGCCCACAATACCAGCAGAAGCATTGGTAACACAGATTCATAGATACGAACAGTGCCATCAATACTTTTATTTTTGTGGGCATTAACATTATTGTTGATCATTGATTGAGTTGTATTCTGCAAAAGGTCTTGCTGCATCGTGTTCGTACTGGAATCCGGCACGGTGGTTTCTGTGGACGTTTTATTTTCGGTAGTATTTACTTCTTGCTGTGTTTTTTCTGGTGGTATTTCCACTACCGGAGCAGGCTGTTGATTCTCTTGACTTTCTGGTTGAGACTCAGGTTGAACGGTAGCAGAAGCATTAGTTGTTTCCATTTGTGTCGGAGTGTCAATGTCTTGTGGTGTTTCTGTGTTTTGCACTTGCGAGGATTTATCGTTTGTTCCTTCCTGTATCTCTTCTGCATCACTAGGTGAAAACGAAATATTCATCCTGCTCCTGAGCAGCGCAGCAATCTCTTCTTTACTCAGCACGCGGTTGTACAGCATAACGTCTTTCACTGATATATGAGAGCCTTCGACAGACTCACCGTCCCAACCAAAGTAAAAGTGAGAAATTTTCACAACTTCCTCGATGTTTAAGTTGGTTCCCACATGTAGCCGAGTACTGTTGATATACACAGAGCCCGTACCGTTCTTGAATGTCAATACCAGAGAAGATTCATTATCCACTTCCCATGTACCTGTTGACTTACTTTTGGTTCCCCTGTTTGTGGCGCTCCACGTTTTATCGTTGTTGTACGACACTCCCAGAAGAATACTGTGCTTGTTGTTGTCCCACATTCTTACACCCAACAAAGGACTGCTGTCATTCTTTGGTACCTTGTGGATAGTCACCGTCGCCACAAGAGTAAAAGCATAGTTTGTAAAGTGATACTGCCTCGCCAGTACATTTATACTCACAGGCCATATTGCTCCTGAACCAGGACCCATGAACTTCAAGCCATTAGTAACCTTCATTACTGTACCAATTAAAACGGCATTCACGCCGAGGTATTCATCCCTCCATTTATCACCATCAATGTTTCCAGACAAATAGCCCACCAGTCCAGTAGTGGGAATACGACACTCAGAAGAAGCACAATTTTCATCAGTGCAGCAACGACTCTCAGTGAGAGTCTGGTCTTGTTCAGTCCACTTTTTCACCACACTTTTGATCCTCTCCATAGCTGTCGAAAGATCCACGAAAAGAACCTGGGGGTTACCTTCCCTTTCAAGAATCAAATACCGAAAGTACAGTTCGCCATTCTTGAACAATAGGGTGCTTGTTGCCGCATTCGGATCTGTAGCTATGAAGCCAACATAATAAATGTGTGTGTTATCAGTAAGCCACAGATGGAGTTGCTTCTTTTCTCCAGACACCACAGACTGTGTAAAAAGAATGACACTCTTATTATCAATCGTTGCCGTAATAAAATTGTTTTGACTTCCACGCTCAGTAGTTGGTTTGTTAGTAGTTACAGTGGAGGTGGCCCACACACGAGAGAGTGTACTGATAGACTCTTTCCAATTCTTTCCCAAATCGGTGGACTCGTACACTCTGTAATAGCCACTGGTATGCTGCGTAATCATCATTAACTTATCATTTTCCCACTCCATAACAGTAGGATTATAAGTACCTTCGTCAGTCAAACCACCAACGTTCCACTGTTTATCATGGGGCCTGTAATACAAAACTGTCGAAAAGACTTTGTTATCCTCCGTAACAAATTGCACAGGAAACAGAAGTGTATTGTTTTTTGTTGTTAAAATTTTTGAGATAGTGTCAGCAGGAAATCGCACAACCGATGCTGTTCCCTCCATAAAAGGATATGCAATATTGAAAGTAGTGTAAGTGAACGAATTCTTTTCAATTACACCATTAAGAGTGTTCATCCACACGATGTGAAGAACAGAATTTTCTTGACTTGGAGGGTTGTTGCTTTCCACAAGAGCATACATAGCACGAAACCATCTACCAAATCCATAGTGCCTGACAAAAGGATTGTATTCATAGGAGTGAAAGCGGAACAAATCTCTATTGGTGTTCCACCACGCATTTTCACCCACCCCGTTCGCTGGTGTTAATAATTCGATGGAGTCAGGTTGGGATCCATTCCGCGGATACAAATTAGCACCGTTAATTGCCACCAGCTGCCCATTCTCTAACTCCAAAATATGAGAACCATTAAATGTACGGAGTAAGGTTGTCTTTTCTTGCGGTTCCTCTCCTTGTGCATATCCACTGATGCAGCCCAGCATCAAGAGGAACAATACAACAAACAGAGAGTGGGTCATGTTGTATTTCATGGTTGGTCTTATTTCTTTCCTCTCTCTCTGTTCCTCAGCCTTTCTTTCCTTACTTCCTGTCTTTTCCTCAGGTTAAAGAGGTTACTGAATACTTGTAGTGAATGCCAAGAAGTGACTGTGTTTGTATGTGTTGCGGCTGGTGATTACTTTCAAAGACTTCAACTACAAAGTAGCGTTTGTCGCTTAATCTAGTCCATCAGAATATATGGAAATGGTTAAGGAAAAAAAAAAAGAAACCAAAAAGAATTGTGTAATGAAAAAGAAGAGAAGGAGAAATACATTCACCGTGATCAAGTCTAAACACGTTACTGAAGAAACAACGTAAACACAATGCTTAAATACAGTAAATCTCACTAAAAAAAATAGTATATTATTCAGAAAAAGGATATGCAATCATGCCTTTAATTTTTTTATATTGGCTTCTGTACATTTACACATCGTATACGGTTCATACAAGTTTCTCTCCACCCATTTTCTCTGAGCCGCATAAAAGCTGAAGTTCCCACAACTCAAGTATCGTATGTGTGAGAAGCAATTTGTTTTTTAAAAACCAACAAGAAAACCACAACGCTAGAGAGACGAAAGCGCATAGAAGAAAACAAAAGCAATCATCATCTTTAACTGGAATAAGTACACATAATAAAGTAATATTAGTAGTAAAAACCCATCATCCATCTGCTCAACAAGACACCAACAACGTGTCCAAATTTTTTTTTTCAGAGCATTGTCATTTATTCTCTACAGGTACAGTTAACGGTTATCCAATTAATTTTCACTACCACAATTTGTTCCGAAAACTATTAATTTGCAAAGAAATAATAAAAGCTCTGGCGTCGCTTAGGTAATGCAGCAAAACAATGAGGCAATGCACACATCAGCCCATCCATAGATTGCGTCCATGCACACACACACAAGTACGCACATGCAAGTACAATCAGAATACGGCAGGCAGCCGTTAGGAGAATACCCATGTGAAGAAGAGGAATATTACAACAGCAGAGATGTATCCCTAACCAACACCATTGGCTCTCACTCTCCATTACTTATTCCATTCCCAATGGAAAGGAAACAACACACACAAACGAAGCAGTATATACAGTCAAACAACACCGTCAAGAGTAAATACAGGGAATGATGGCACACCATGATAGGGTACAATCGGGGCAGTTCAAGTAGAGAAGCATATGGGACTCTGTACTCCACTCTCCCATTCCCCAACCAGTCATCAGTGTTCACCAAATGTATACCGTGGTACACACAACACTCTGTGGACCTCTCCATAATGAGCCAGCTCCTGCGGAGAAAACAGCAATCAAAATAAACCCCCTAATCCATATAAATGTTCATGTACAGTGTCTATTCAACTATTTTGAATCAGTGTACATAATGGAGGAAAGAATAAAAAAAAGGAAGAAAAAAAAAGCACATGCCAACAAACACACCAAGTAATGAAAGTATATTATTAGGACATCATAACAACGATACATCCATGGGCACCATTCTCCCTGATGAAAAGAAAAAAACATCCATACTCATGATATTACCCCAATAAAGAAATTATTAGAACAATCCCTACAGTAAAAAAACCCCACACACACAGTAAAACAGAAGTGAAAGAAGCATATACACACAGATTGATTGCAAACAAAAAAAAAAAAAACTTTTTCCACCACACAAGGAAAAAAAAAATGTATATTTAATATCATCCCATTAATTCCTGTGCTTACATCATTTTCACCCAGTGCGGTCCTCAATGTGCTCGATTATTCCTCTGTTACATTCACACTCTGCAAAAGGTGAGGTCGAGAAATCAAGCATCGTGTGAGGGCAAACAAAGGGACGTTGGGAGTTAATTCCTGGACTTCAGAGATTGTAGCAAACAGTTAATTTTCCCCAAAAAAAGAGAAAAAAAGGAATTCCATGGTGCTGAACCCAAGGAACAGCCGCAAGAAAAAAAACAATTAAAAAGAAAAGGGACCACACTATGGACAGCAATTTTTATTTACTGATGCAACCAAGCCCAATCGGAAATCATATTCACGTCGTTGCACATACATTTATAGGAGAATTGTTGCAAGAGCCCACAACCCCACCACAAGCATTGGCAATCCATATCCATATACACGAGCAGTGCCATCAATAGTGTTTTGGGGATGGGTATTATTATCATGGATGTTGGGCAGAGTTGTCTTCGACGAAGAGTGTTTCTGCATATTATTTTCAGATGCATCTTCAGTTTTCGGTGTCTCAGCAGATCTTCTTCTTCGGCCTCCCTGTCTCCGAAGTGGATCAGCCGTCTGCGAATTCGCTTGTCTTTCATTGAACCTATACTCTCTGGAACTGGTTGACTGAGGTCTTGAAGGACTGTGGATAACAGGGCTCTGGGAAGAATCTGTCATACTTGCCTGCTCTGAAATTTCCTTTTTGGCATCTGCAACAACAATACTCATATTGTTCTCGACCAGTGCATTAATTTCCCTGCGAAGTAGTACGCGGTTGTACAGCATAACATTTTTTATTGTTACGTGAATATTGTCTCCACCCCAATTCTCTGAACCAAAGTAGAAGTGTGATACCTCTTCTTCCCCTTCCATTTCGGCGTAATATGGTGCACTTAAACGAATACCGTTGATATACACAATAGCCTTACCGTCTTTTAATGTCAATATCACTGAATACGCCTTGTTCACTTCCCATTTGCCTGTTGGACCACTTGATTCGTCCCTGTTTATTGTGCTCCACGTATTGTCTTTATTGAACGACAAACCAAAAAGAATTCTTTTTTTGGATTTATTCATTTTTACACCCAACAAAGGACTGTTTTCCTTCTTTGGTACCTCATGGATAGTCACAGTCGCCGCAAGAGTAAAGGCGTAGTTTGTAAAGTAATACTGCTTCGCCAGTCCATCTGTGTTCACAGGCCACTTTGCCCCTGCACCAATTCCCTTTAACGTTAGTCCGTTGGGATTCTTCTCTGGGACGCCACTTACAGAAGCACTCACGCCGAGGTATTCATCATTCCATTTCCCTTCATCGATATTTCCAGACAGATAGCCCACCAACCCAATAGTGGGAACAGGATACTTACACTGACGAGATGAAATACCACTGTTATCAGCGCAGCAACGACTCTCAGAGAGAGTCTGGTCTAGTTCAGTCCACTTGTTTAACACCCTCTTAATCTCCTCCATTGAAGTCGTAAGATCCACAAAAATAACTTTATGTTGATCACCTCCTTCAACAGTCTCATACAGAGAGTAGAGTTTGTTATCCTTGAACAATAAAGTGCTTCTCTTCACTTTTTTATTCTCAACTATCATGCCAACGTGATAAATACGTGTGTTATCAGTCACCCACAGATAGAGTTTCTTCCTATATTCAGATCCCACGGACTGCAGAAAAAGAATGACACGCTTCCCATCAATAGTTGCAGTAATAAAATTGTTTTGACTTCCACGCTCAGTAGCTACAGTGGAGGTGGACCACACACGGGAGAGTGTACTGGTAGACTCTGTCCATGTCTTTCCCAAATCAGTGGACTCGTACACTCTGTAATGGCCGCTGGTATGATGAGCAATCATCATCAAATTACCATTTTTCCACTCGAGAACAGCAGGATTATAAGTACCTTCTTCAGTCAAACTACTAACGTTCCAATTATCATCTTCGAACTTGTCAACCATAACTGTTGAAATGATTTTCTTATCAGTCGTAACAAATTGGACAGGAAACACAAAACCATAATTTGTCATTCTCAAAATTGGTGTAATCTCGTCAACAAGGAATCGCACAACCATTTCGTTTCCTTTCGTAAAAGGAAATGCAATATTGGAAGCAAAGTAACTCAATGAATACTTTCCGTTTTCATCATTACCAGTATACATGCGCACAGTGCGAAGAGTAGAATTTTTAGTATTGATTTCCGTACCCTGTGATTGGGAACGATATTGGCTTTGAAGGTTGTTGCTTTCCACAAGAACAAACACACTCCGATGGTTATCATACATTTTATGTTTCTCTAGCTCTTGCGCGTATGGGAATGAATAAATACCGAACCTCTTTTCCTGGGTTTCCCCCCAATTTTTTCCATTGTCACTGCTCTCTTGTGTCAAAAAATCGATGAATTCACTCTTGTTTGTAGATTTCTGGTACATGGCAGTAGCAGCAGTGTCAATTGCCACCAGTTTCCCATTCCCCAACCAAAGATAAGAACCTTGAAAATTGCGGGGTGAGGTTACTTCAGAGCCAGTAAAAGATGATAGTGGTGATAGTTTTTCATGTCCCACATCTACTTTCACTTCCTGAGCGGAGTTCTTTACTTGAAACAGTTCCTTGTCATTTCCAATTGTCCTGGTTGTCCTTTCTTTAAAACGACTCCCTTGTGCATATCCACTGATGCAGCCCAGCAAAAAAAGGAACAATAAAACAAACAGAGGGCGGGTCATGTTGTACTTCATAGTTGGTATTCTTTCCTCTCTCTGTTCCTCAGTCCTTCTTTCCTTCCTTCCTTACTGTCTTCTCGTCAGAAAAAAAAGAGGTTACTGATTACTTGTAGTGAATGCCAAGAAGCACTTGTGTCTGGATGTGTTGCGGTTGGTAACTACTTTCAAAGCTTTCAAATACGAAGAAGTGATTGTAGCTTATTTTAGTTAATCAGAATATGTGAAAATGGTTAAGGAAAAAAAGAAACCCAAAGGAATTGTGTAATCAAAGAAGAGAAATAGAAATACATTCACCGTGATCAAGTCTAAACATGACACTGAAGAAACAACGTAAACACAATGCTCAAATACAGTAAATCTCACTAAAAAGAGGTAAAACACAAAATAAAAATATAAAAAAAACTGTTTTTAAGTATCTTTGTAACCAATTAACTTAACACAAATCCACCAAAAAATAGTATATTATCCACAACAAAGATTTGCAAACATGTTTTTAGTACTTTTATGGGCTTCTGTACACTTACACATCGTACATGGTTCATACAAGTTTCTCTCCGCTTGCTTTCTCTGAGCCGTATAAAAGCCGAAGTTCACACAACTCAAGTATCGTATGTGAGAGAAGCAATTTGAAAAAAAAAAATCCAACAAGAAAACCACAACGCTAGAGAGACTAAAGCACATAGAAGAAAATAAAAGCAGTCACTTTTAACTTGTACACATAGTAAAATAATAGTAGTAAAAACCCGGCATCCATCTGAGAAACAGGTTGAAAACAGAACCACAAAAGAAGAAAAAGTTTTAGAGCTTCCAAAACGAAAAGACCCCGTGAGGATTGAGTTTGGCTGCTCTGCACTGAGAGGTTCAAAAGAACACACACACACAAAAAGATTCTCTTTCCAACCATCACACACACACACACACACACACAAAGGCACTAGACCCAGATAAACCTATCCCGCTGCTCCTTCTATCATGTACCCAGCAACAAACAGTTCCAATAACACAACATCAGGAAAGGAAGAGTGGGCTGCTCCGTTTGTGTGGAAATCCCCTGCGGCATCGTAGCTACAACAACAGCTGCGCAAATGCTATCCATGAGCAGCACAGTCGCCCGCTCCCTCATACAAGAAGAATAAACGCTTAAGAGTAGAAAACCGTAAAGAAGGCATTCAATGACTACAGTGCGCCCAACACTTACGCCGGGACCGACGTGCTTCGAGCAGATATACATTATAAGCATGATGGCTGCAAAAACACCACCAGCTGCTCGGAATGAGACCATTTATAATTTCAAATGTGAAGAATACGACATGAGGTACAAATCCCAAGTAGGATTGTTCCAATAATGTCCAACACAAACACAACACAGGCAAACATAGAAAACATTCCAGTTCAGCAGAGTTATCTCGAAATTCCCAAAAAAAAAAAAACAACGGAAAGAGGTTCAATATCCTCACTATCGCCCTCCTTTTATTTCGAAAGCAATCCCAAAATACTCACATTGGGAAATTCCACGATAAGAGTACAAAAAATGGCAGCTTCATCTCCATGGTTCAACCACAGTATATGCAAGGAAATCCTGGGGCATATTCTTACTTACCCCACCCTCTATGAGCTTCGTAAAAAGGTTCAGCTTTGAAGGAGTGAAAATACCTGAACCGCAGTTTTGCATGCATCTACCCAGTTATTTTTATTTTTTTTTTTTGTAAACCACCTCCCTCCAGTTATGCACTGGTATAAGACCACAATACAGCTAAAGAGAAAACGTCCATTGATTCTATTCAATCCATCTGCTTCGGCTTTCTTTTAGACTTTTGACCTAACGAAATAGGATAGAAGAACCTACAGAAAATATAACAACTCTCCGGAGATCATAGCTTTGGATTTGGCTCTTCTGTGTGGGTGCTAGATTCAAAGCTCTACACTATAAAACAAAGGAGAAGGGGATGAGAGTTAATGTGCAACAGTCTTGCATTAAGCTACACGTACAGAGCAAGAATGCATACCCAGTTTTTTAAAAAAAGAAAAACAAACGGAAACACAAATACATGATCCCATGAGAAACCTGATGCCACACATACATGTCAAGCATAAACTCCAAGAATCAAAAAGAAAAAATAGGCATTGATCATTTTCGTTTACCATCCCTGCCAAACTCCTCTAGAAAGCTCAACAAACACACAAAAAAAAAATACAAGAAAAAACAGAAAAAGAAAACATTGATTTCCACAGTAAATATTCCTTTTTTTTAAAAAAGAAAAGAAAATAAGACACAGAAATGATTGTCTACCATAAATGGTTTTAAAACCAAAAAGGAGACTCAATTATTGTGTGCCATAATAGCTTTTACATTTGCAATATATCATAGAAAAAATTGATAAATCTTAATATAGGTACAGTAATCTTGACAGAAACAAATCTTTTAATTGCCAGAGTCACAACAACCAATGTGGGTGAGAGAATTTATTAGAGTACTTTTATTCAAACATGTGCCATGTACTTTTTTGGCACCCAGAGTGTTCCATCAGATAAGAAATAGCTTTAAAAAGAAAAAGAAAACAGTATCCATAAAAATAAAAAAAGAAACGGCTTAACTAAGATATCTTCCACCTTATTTTCACATTATTGAAAGGCGAAAAAAAGAAAAAAAAAACGTAGAGCATTTTTTATTTTCGTTATATTCATTATTGTCTCTATTTGCATATGTTATTAAAATCAAATATTGCTGTGAGTCCAAAATGACTCTTCATTGTCTATTATTCAGTACATAATAGCGAAAAGAAGATGTTCAAATCGCTTCTAACCCGCTTTGTGCGTAGAGTAGTAAGAGATGATTCGGGGGAGAAGTCTCAAAAAGATTACCCCCCCTCCAACAAACTCCACTAGGAGAAATTGAAAACTATGATATTCTCCTTCTCATTGTTGTTGTTGGTTACAAGACAACACGAAAGCTTAGAGCATTTAATTTGCAAAAATGTCCAAGGATGTGTATGTAAAATATATTATTGTTTCAAGTTAAAAGGTTGCATGTGGAAGTTGCAGTTCCACATTTGGAGAAAGAATATCTTTCACTCATATAGTCAGTGTGGTTATATTTAAGAGAAGGTAGGGAAATACTACATATCATCATCAGCCAACTCTTCTCCTTCAGCCTCAGGACATGTAACAAACATATTGCTGCTGCGCCGTATTCGATTTGGTACACGTCGGCGCATACGGGATCTGGGCCTTTCCACGACGATTTCACCTGGAACGTCAGAGTTCGCTGATGTAGTCCCGGCATCAAGAGGTTTCTCTTCAAAATCTTTTATATCAAGATCGGTGGCATCAACCGTTGGCTTGTCATCTTTGTTTAGCGCCGTATACTGTGGACTTGTTGTATTGTTACTACTGCTCATTAATGGGTTCTCTTTATCCATCTTCCCTTCTTCGTTTTCAGTCTCTAGACCGCGATCACTGTCCACATCGACGTCCGTGTCGCGCCATTGGTGACGCTCGTAAATCCATACTACGATACACCAAACCCCGATTACAAGAAGTACGATGATCAGAAGTATAAAAAAGGCTACAAAAGCCCACAAGGAACGATTACTTGGTGATATAGCATTTGCACCATTGATTAAGCACAGCACCGCCAGAAGCACGAAACTCACCGTGTACATCACCGTCAGGAACGCAGAACGCATCATGTTCATGAAACCCAACACCGCCGCACCTGCAAACAGCACCGCCGCCATGCAGAAGTACGGAATGTGACATTTGTCTACCGGCGGCTGCACAGCAGTAATCAATCCCACAACGCAGAGCACCACCAATCGGAACACACACCAGTACGCATAACTGCCCTTCATATTTGTAAACATGCTCCCAAACATCTGCACCTGCGCCGGCGGACACCAGTACCCAACGGGATACAGCCATCGCACATACACCGGTTTCTTTGAGAACTTCCAGTACTTTGTGAAACTCGCATCGGTGTAGTGTGCAATGAAGTAGTAGGTGGCAACAGGAAAGGCCACACCGTATAGCGCGCCAATCACCCCGATAACGTAGTGCTGTGGATGCGCATCAGGCATTGCCAGCATGGAGATAGAGCCCACAAAGATACCAAGGTGCATTAGGTACGCCACGAGGTACGTCAAGCTTGGGAAACGCATCGCCGCCCATGCGCTTATCGTATCCACACCTCGCCACCGCTCAAATACCACCGTCAGTCCGTAATGCACGCATCCAAACACCAGGGCAATCAACGCGTTACCCACCACCATCCACAGTGGACCAAGACTGGCAAACACAGATAAAAAGTATGGTAGCGCCACGGAACTGTCACGCACATAATCCGGTGCACATGACATAAGTGCAAACGCACCGAGTGTCTGTATATCAAGGATCGATCCAAGGCCACCAGCAACAAAGAGTCCAACGGTCAACAGAGCAGCGGCAATGCCAGCAAAGACAGCGAATTCACTATTCACCTCAGACTGTTCCGCAACAAAAGGCACCTCTAAGGTGAGGGTAACAGTTGGTGTCGGTATGGTCAGCGTTAGCGTGGAGGTCAGCGTCTCCGTAGACGTCTGCGTCAGCGTCCTCGTGGACGTCAGGGTCATTGTGGGCGTCAGCGTCTCCGTGGACGTCTGCGTCAGTGTCCTCGTGGACGTCAAGGTCAGTGTGGGCGTCAGCGTCAGGCTGTGTGACTGCGTCAGCGTCGCTGTGTTGGTGAATGTCGGCTTCGGCTGCAGTTTATTACAGCCATCCGGGTGTGGCATGAACACTGGAAGACAGCCACGCTCATACACTCCTCTCACACAGATACACTCGCATGTCTCCAACACCTCCCTTGTCATGATGGAAAAGCAATTCACATCAATACCACACGCCCCACACTCCAGGGTACGCGTCACACCCGTGATACCAACAGACTCATAGTCACTCGGGAACAATGGTTCCCCGTTGAGACTCAGGCACCCAACCACAAACTTGCTCCCAGCGCTCCCCAGCGTGACAGCTCCGTCCATCACGGCGGAACCACCACCGCTGTTATTGTATAGTGTAAGCGTGCTCTTTACGAATTCCGCACTGGATGGGCTTGATGGCAGCGACAGAAGTTTGACTGGGAATTTGTTACCCTGTAGCGACAGCCACGAGCCGGACACAAATGACATCATCCCTTGCAGCGTCAACAGTGCTCCATCACTCAGTGTTCCCGTGTTGTCCTCAATAACCACAGCAGACCCACTTACTGCTACACCCGTGNCGCCACGGAACTTTCACGCTCGTGCTCCGACGCACAGGACATCTTCGCAAACGCACCGAGTGTCTGTATCTCCAGAATCGAGCCGAGTCCACCAGCAACAAAGAGTCCAACGGTAAACAGAGCACCGGCAATGCCAGAAAAGGCAGCGGAATTCACTATTCACCTCAGACTGTTCCGCAACAAAAGGCTCATCTAAGGTGAGGGTAACAGTTGGTGTCGGTATGGTCAGCGTTAGCGTGGGCGTCAGCGTCGCTGTGTTGGTGAATGTCGGCTTCGGCTGCAGTTTATTACAGCCATCCGGGTGTGGCATGAACACTGGCAGACAGCCACGCTCATACACCCCTCTTACACAGATACACTCGCATGTCTCCAACACCTCCCTTGTCATGACGGCAAAGCAATTCACTTCAATACCACACGCCCCACACTCCAGGGTGCGCGTCAAACCTGTGATACCAACAGACTCATAGTCACTCGGCAACAATGGTTCACCGTTATGCGTCAGGCACCCCACCAAAAACTTGCTCCCAGCGCGACAGCTCCGTTCATTACCTCGGCCCCGCTGCCTCTGTTCCCGTACAGTGTGAGCGTGCTCTTCACGAAGTCCGCACTGGATGGGTATGATGGCAGTGACAGAAGTTTGACTGGGAATTTGTTACCCTGTAGCGACAGCCACGAGCCGGACACAAATGACATCATCCCTTGCAGCGTCAACAGTGCTCCATCACTCAGTGTTCCCTTGTTGTCCTCAATAACCACAGCAGACCCACTTACTGCTACAC